CATAGCTGTCTATGTAGACTCTACGGAAACACACCCCTCTTCTCAGTTTCAAGTCACTTATCCGTAATGGGCTTATTCCTGTGCTGCCAAAATCTCTAACAGCTCTTCATACTCGTTGACTTCCCAATCATTAGGGTTTTTAGAAACATTCACCGTCCATTTAATACTATCATTACCGATTTGGTAGGCCTCTTGGACCAACATCTGTTTTGATTGAGCAATTTCATATATCCTTGGGAATCTGATCATAAGGCATCCTGTATCAAGCCAATCATCAAGCCAAAATCTGATGTTGCTGCCATTACTAAGTCTCCACTTGATACACTGCTGGAACCTAGGCCACTGGAATAATATTTTTTTCCAACTGCAAGTAATGTATGATAACCTAAATGAATCAATAACATATGAGAACCTTGACTTTCATTTCAATACATATATATACACATATATAAGAACTTTGACTTTGCTGTGAAGGACTACATATGTGTGGCGTGGTGCTGCTTAAAATTTAGGGCTTACAGCTTCCTAAATCAGTGAAGATCATCAAACTAAAGCCATTAAACAGTATTCAAATGTTTGTATGTGATTTTTTCCTCTAATTGGCAACTTTAGATGTCTCATGCTTCTGCCAAGAAAATGAAGGCATAAAGTTATTTATTTGGGCATATTCTCTTTAAAGCAATCAATTTTGGTATCTGTCAGCTGTCTTTTTCTTTTGAAATAAAGTATCTGTCGGCTATCTTAAATCATAAAGATTGTTGTTCCATTTAGTTTGTTCGAGAAAAGAGATTGTTTTGTGGGATTTTTTTTGCCTTACATACAAATTAATTAGAATTCATGTCTAGCTATCTTGGCTTTCAGCCTCAAATGGATGTCTGCAATTGTATTTGTGCAACTTCATTCATTTTTTCCCTGCCTTTTTTGGTCCACTGTATGATAAACTTTTTTAATCGTCAGCGTAATAGTCTTTCTGGAAATGGTGTTCAATAAGCTTTATTATTTTTTGTAACTAAGCGTAGGCAGTCATCCTAGTATGATCTCTAATATTATTATTCATTGTCAGCCACCAAAAAGGAACTGATATCAGGATCCCTCTCTTATTTTCTAAAAAAACTATTGATAGTATTTGATGCCCTGTTGCTTAGGTATGTGGAACTTGGTTTCTTGCTTTGTAATTTCAGGCAAGGGCTCTCATTTCAAAGCTGACAGAGGAAAAGAACTCTGCCATTCAACAAAATAGTAAGCTTCAACAAGAACTGGTAAGGGACTTTGATATTGGCATGTTGTCCATCTCGTAAAATTTCTTTTCTGAGTCCTCTGAAAGAACTCTGTTCACAATTCATGAAACGCTAGGTTTCAAGGTACATGTTTAATAAGGGAAGGATTCAGATTACGACTTTATCATTTTTTCTTTTAACTCAGAAACGACTGTTGGTGTCTGCTAGAATTTGAGGAAGCATTTTCTTTCCCTGTCTTCCCAGAACTAGATATCCAAATCTTTCATTTTGCCTTGATCTTGAACCTTAACTATGTCAATGGAGAAGTTAGTACGACAATATGGACTAATTATGACTGTCCCTTTGCCTTAACCTCGGATGTACTAAGCTTCATCCCACCCAAAAAACATTTATGCATCATCAGTTTGAATTATGAGAGTCGGTTGCATAGCAGTCATGCAAACATGAAAGTAGAGTGTATCTTTTTGGATCAACTTCAAGAATACTCTGCAAGTATTATTACGTGTTAATTCTGGAATAACTGATTTTTGCATTATTGCCCGGATAAAACTGATTCAAATGCGATTCTGTAAATTTTGTTGTATTTCAGTTAGATCAGTGTCTGTTGGAGTACTGCAGCATGATTTGGATCATGAACTCACTAGTGTTACAATGTGCAGGAGGTTTGGAGTGGTGAAGCCAGCAGAAATCGAGGTGGCATTTCATTCGTGTATGTTGTTCTTGTTGGCTTGATCGGTATCATTTTGTTATATCTTGTGAGGAGGATGTGACCAGGGGAGTCACCCTTGTATCCTTTTTGCCATTCCTTAGATGGAAACACGACGTACAGAGAGTTCAAAGCCAAATGCTTGACTGATATCTATGGCTTTTTCTTCTATATAGTATTTACTGGTATCTTAGCATGTCAAGCTTAACTCTCGCGAGGAAACATTTTTTCTTTGTATTGCGCAATTTACAGTCTGATGGAGGTAAGCAACTGAGAATCTCAGGTTTATGGATTCTATAATTTCAGGGTATATATGAGATTAATGACGTTGCCAATTTAAACCACTGGTTAGTTTTTGTTTCTCTTCATTCTTCTGTTATAGATTAAGCGTTGTTAACACAAACCAAATTGAAAAACCCAAAATATTAAATTTGCCTTTCTAAAAATTTTGGAAGCAAACCAAATTGAAACACTGAATGACCTATAACAATTATGGTAGTCAATATGAAGAATAAAGTAGTAAACATATAACAAAAATTAAATATTCTAAATAATTTCCGATAATGTAACTAATTATCTGTAATATACACTTATTTTCATAACAATTATAGTAATCAATATGAAGAATAAAATAGTAAACATGTAACAAAAATTAAATATTGTAAATAATTTCCGATAATGTATCAACTTAGAAATAATATACACTTATTTTCATAATTTATTAGATTAACATTTATATTCAAGATGTCTGAGATTAACTTCTTCAAAATTTTCTTTTCAATAATTGCATGTTTATGTATATATAAATATATGTAATTGAAAAAAGCTGTAGTTATAGTGAAGTGGGGAATTGGAACTCTAAGAATTTGGAATCGGTTTCTTAATAGTCATACTGATGAACAAATTTGTGTTTGCCTTCAAACTCATACTCTAGAGATTAGGAGATTTAGGGCCAATCTGTTGATGGGATTTCTCAGTTAAAATGTCTGTGCTCTACTTTGTTAAAACTATGGAATGAGTGATGATAAACCCAGTCCATTTTAGAATAAATTTTGGGCGCTGTATTAGTTGAACAAACTCAAAAACCTTGGGGGATTCATGCCACATAACAAGAGTAACTACTTACTAGTTGAGGTTAAATAGAATTATGATTGATTTAATCCATATTCTAACTGGAAGTATCATAATAAGGATGCTACTTTTTTTTCTTTCTCCGAGATTGTAATGCAGTTAAATAATTTTGACTATATCTGATACTGAGTAACTACAAAGGTATTTTCTTCTCTATGTTATTTGTGAATTGGACACACTGGAACAATTGGAAGAAAATGCTTGACTTAGCTTGTATTAGTTATGAACTTCAATTCTTGGTGCTGTTTGGATTATTTGGATTGTTAAGGATATATCAGTCTTCAAAAACTACTAGATTTGGTCAGAAAGAGAAAAGTACTTTCCCCGAATTCGTTAGCTATTAGTATGATCAGTGCATTTGGAAAGAAGAAAATATGATAAACCACAAGAATCCGTTTGGATTACTTGGTTTCTTCCTCTTGATTCTTGGATAAATATCAGCACTAATGCTAGTACTCCTGATATGTTTGCATTTGTAAGGGGTGTTTGTGAGGATGAACATGGTTCTTGGATTTTGGGTTTTACTTCTAATATTAAAGTTAGAGAGATTCTACAAGCTAAGTTAGGGGTTATTTGATAGAATTTGAACATGCTGCCAGAATGAACACAGATATATGATGGTGCAATCTTTTAATTCACTTCTTGTTAGTCATTTGATGAAGTAACAGATTACTTCCACTCACATGCTTCATTGATGATTGAGATCCAAGATCCAATCAATAATGGATAACTTTGAGGATACTGCTCCTAGACACATTCAGAAGCAAGGCAACCAATGTGCAGATTTCTTAAAACTATTAGGTAGTGTTCATCCTGGTGGTTACTTTCTATGATTGGTTCTACATAAAGAAATCTACTAATAGTTCATGCTTTAGAGATCAAGTTCTCTACCAGTTAATTTGATTTGTTTTGTGAGTAAATTATAGGAATCCCTCTTGGAATTTAGTACAGTATATAAAAGTTGGCTACACTTTTTAAAATTAAACATAAAACTTGATGTGTTATACAAACTATTATACACTTTTTACGTTTGAAATTATTATAAAATAACTTATAAATAATGTTTTTAAGATTATTGTAATTTGTTTAATGTATTTTATTTATGTGGAAAGATGGACAACTTATTTTTAAATAACTTAAATATTTTCATATAATTTTAGTATTAAAATTATATATATATTTTTAATATTTAAATAGATTATGGTGGATATTATTATAGTATTAAAAGCAGACAAAATTGGATTAAACCTCATTCATTGATAATGCTGCTTATGAGATGAAAAATACATAATGTAATGTTATAATCAAAGTAGTTGTAATATCCATTTGTATTGTTGATAAACAGGAGATGTTGTCGTTTTTATTAGAACCCATAAAATTTAAACTCCTTTGTTCAATGAAAATAAAAGATGTAACAAATCTACTCCCTGAATTAGAACAAGTAACACCATCGAATGTTATGGATGACAACTCTTTCGTTTTTTTATGTTTCAAAAAAACTATTGTGTATTTAGAGATATTTTATATTCTATTTTTTTTAAAAAATCTTATTCCTAAATATTATAATATGTCAACTCCTATTTTTACTGGGAAAACATTATTTATATGCAAAATATTTTTTAATTGTACAATAATTTAGTCTTTTTACTTGAGCATGATGAATTTTCTCTCTCTTAATTTATGACACTATCATTTTCTTTTAAAAAAAAAATAGAATTTAAACGTGTGTTATAAATTTTTAAGATATATATATATTTTTTCAATTTATATATTATATCGAAACGTAAAAAAAAAATAGTATCCTTAACAATATTCGCACCACTTTTTTTTATTAAAGAAAATAGTAGTACTACTTGTTTCTTCAATTTAATTCATATCATATTTATTAGTATTTGTTATTTAAGTTATAATGTTTGTATTTACTTAAATTAATCTTTTATCTAACTAAATATAAAAAAGTTTATGTAACTTGAATTATAAATACAATTTAAATACTAACTTTTATATTTTATCTTATATTATTTTTTATTCAAGGTAATAATATGATTTTTGTTTTCATATTAATAGTTAATGAACAAATATATTAACAGACTCAAATCCAGGTATCTCATTATATTGACTTCCAGAATTTTCTCTGTCAAACCTATTTTGTATTAAAATTCGAAAAAATGAAAAGACAATTCTGCCCTTTGAATCCAAATGAAGTTACCGGAAAACCTGCTACCGGTTGGAAACCTCCAACCAAACAAACTCGACCATCACTGTCTCCCGTTCTTTTACATTTTCTCACTCCCACTCTCTGTCCCTCTCTTCTGCCGTCGGCCGTAACCAGAATCGCAGTCTAATTCGGGATCTCGGAACTCACCGGATCTGCCAATATACATATATTTATATCTCAAGATCGCATAAAGATGAGTACTGGCGAGCTGCTTAATATCCACCCTCAAGACCTCGAATTCCCTTGTAAGCTTCTATGAATCCTTCTTTTTTATTAAAAAAAAAAAAAAAAATCTCAATATGCTTTTAGATCCGTGATCTTCGTGTTATTGATTTTGTGTATCCGTGTTTTCTTTTGGGGAAATGGAAAGTTGAATTGAAGAAACAGATCTCTTGTTCTCTACAGTTGTCTAATAAGACCGACAATTATGTGGCTTTCAAGGTGATAATGCTGTTCCATAATTTAATTTAGTTACTCTTTTCTGTGTTTTCTTTTGACGTTGTAGTGGATAATTCTGATCTGATTTTCTGTTTTGGCATGTGAAATTGGTTTCTAGGTTAAGACGACGAATCCAAAGAAGTATTGTGTTAGGCCTAACACTGGGGTTGTCCTGCCCAGGTCTACATGTGATGTTATAGGTCTCTTTTGCCTTCTCTCTATCTATCTTATCAATTTTGTGCTTAATCATTGTTTCTTTTTTGAAAAAGCTTTTGTTCGGTTGGTCTCCTGCATTACTTTTCTCTTCATTATTCATCTTTCATATTTGTTGAGTTCATTTTCAGCATTTTTTTCTTTACTTTTATCTCCAAATTTTCTAGTTATTAACCGTGGGTTAATCACTAATCAGTTACAATGCAAGCCCAGAAGGAGGCACCTCCTGATATGCAATGCAAGGACAAGTTCTTACTTCAAAGTGTAGTGGCAAGTCCTGGAACGACAACAAAGGATATAACTGCCGAGATGGTATTTCATTGATGGTCCTATGATGTGTTGTGGCTCTTTGTAAGGTTCTAATTACTAGCACTTAGACAATTGGGTTTTTTTATTGGATCTTTATAGTTCAATAAGGAGGCCGGACATCAAGTTGAAGAGTCCAAATTGAGGGTTGTTTATGTAGCTCCACCTCAACCACCATCTCCAGTTCGGGAAGGATCAGAGGAAGGTTCTTCCCCTCGGGTTTCAGTATCAGACAATGGTAGCTTGAATGCTTCTGAATTTGCACCGGTACATATTCATGTTTCAGTATCTAAATCAAAATATTTGTCTCTTATCAATTGTTTTAATTGCTGTTCATGTTAATAGATTTGTGTCATGACCACGTGATTCTGCCTGTAGGCTTCAAGATCTTATGTCGAGCGAGTTGAGCCTCAAGATAATTCATCTGAGGTATTTTTATGTACTTTTCTATTTCACTTTGTTTAAGCATCTAGCTTTGAATTTTTAATAGAGACCTGCAAGTGACAGCAGTTGTGCGTATAAATAGTTTTGAGAAAAAATTGTGCACACTGATAAATTTCTGTTTTTTTTCATGCCTTTTGTAAAATCTTCAGAATTGGTAAACCTTGATGCATACTGCTTAGTTTGAAGGTTGAATGCTTAACGAGAATTTTCCAAGTTTACACAGAAAAGCATATAATGCCTTGCGAGTTATTGAATTATAACAAGAAGCATGCATGTTCTAGTCGTGTAAATATTTTTTTGAAAATAAAAGTGTAAGACGAATATTGATGTGCTGCCGCCAAGGAGACGCCATTCATTTACAAAAAATTTACATGTCAATAAATATATCTACAATGGTACCAAAATTTTCCAAACTATCAAGGTTATGTCCCAACAAAATGAAACCAAAATAATGAAATCACCTATCCTTGATATTGACAAAATTATCATTTTTTCCCTCAAAAACTCTATTGTTTCTTTCCTTCCAAATGATGCAGAAAATGATAGCAGTATTAGCCTATAAAACGCATTCTTCTTACACAGCCCCTCCCAAGCCATTAAGTCACTTTTTACTGAAACCGCAATAGATCAGCAGATTTCCAACAACCCATTGACCAGTGTCCAGAGATTACATGTAACAGGGCATCAAAGCAGAATGTGGCAGCAGGTTTCTGCATTGCTTTTCCTGTATACCAGTCGCGTAAATGTTGTATGATTTCCAGGTCACTTTAGGTAGGAATAGGATGTCTTTGCTAGTAATTTATGATAACGTAAACGAACCAATAATATATAAGAATTTTGACATCACTGTAGAGGATAATTCATAAGTGTGTCATAATGTTGCTTAAAACCAAGGGTTTACAGCTTCCTACGTCTGTAATTTCATGCTTGTAAATATTTGTACTTTCAGGCAAGGGCTCTCATTTCAAAGTTGACCGAAGAAAAGAACTCTGCCATTCAACAGAATAACAAGCTTCAACAGGAACTGGTAAGGGACTTTGATATTGGTCCATGATGTCCATCGCCTAAGATTTCTTTTCTGAAATCCTCTGACAACAACTCTGTCACAATTCGTGAAACACTAGGGTTCCTATTACAAAGAGATTTTTGAAGTTTCTAATTGCATTTGTATTTTATAAGGGAAAGATTCAGATGACGACTTTATCATTTTTTTCTTTTCATTTGGAAATGACTGTTGATCTCTGCTAGGATTCGAGGAAGCTTTTCTTTTCTTGTCTTCCCAGAAGTAGATATCCAAATCTTTCATTTTGCCTTGACATTTGTTTTTCACTTAGAATTAGGCTCCACAGTGTTTGAATCTAAACTCTCTCCATGGAGAAGTTAGTGACAACGTATACAGTAAATGCACCATATAGAGTAACTGGGCTGCTCCACTTTATGTTGACCTCGAATGTACTAAGCTAATCCCACCCACTAAAAACAGTTATGCATCATCAGTTTGAATTACAAGAATTGGTTGCATAGCAGTTCGTGCAAACACGGGATTCGAGTGGATCAACTTTGAGAATTCTGTAAACAAGTACTTGTTATGTGTTAATTTTGGATAACTAATTGCTGCATTATTTGCCCAAATAGAACTTGTTCAGATGTTACCTCATAAAATGCAACGGATTTCAGTCAATTAGATTAGTATATGTTGGTAGTGTTGCAGCATCATTTGGATCATGAATTTACTAACTAGTTTTACAATGTGCAGGAGCTTCTGAGGCATGAAGTCAGCAGAAATCGAGGTGGTATTTCACTCATGTATGTTTTTCTTGTTGGCTTGATTGGTATCATTTTGGGATACCTCGTGAAGAGGACATGATCAAGGGGGTAAACACTGTATCCTTTATGCCATTCCGTAGATGAGAAAAATTAAAATGTAGAAAGTTGAAAGCCAAATGCTTGACTGATAAATCCAGGACTTTTTCTCCATGTATTATTTACTGGTAACTAAGGCGTCAAGCTTAACTCTTGAGAGGAAACTTTTGTTCTTTTTATTACCCAATTTATGGTGTGAGCGGGGTAACCAACTCAGAGTCTCAGATTTGTGGCTTTTATAATAGTGTATTTATGATGATTAAGGGCTTTACCAATTTAATTTACTGGTAAATTTTTCTTCTCTTTCCATCTTCTATTGTAGATGAAGCAACATAAACATACGATTCTTTATAAACTCATTTTACTCTTGAGAAGCTATTTAGTTAATTGAAGAACTCGACACTTCTAAGGTTTTAGAAAATGGAGCAACTTGAATCAGTTCCAGAAGTGAAGGATCAAAATATTATATTTGTTTTTTTTTTTTTAAAGTTTTGGACATAAACCCAATTAAATAACTAAATTACCTATGGTAATTATAACCATCAGTATAAAAAATAAACAAGTATATAAAAATAATTAAATATCGTAAATAATATCCAATAATATTTTGATTTTGTGTATTATATACATTTTAATTGTAACATATTTTAGATTTAATTCTTTAAAATTTGTCCTCTCAATGATTGTTTATGTATTAAACAATTATAATTTAGAAACTCTGAACACAGCAATCTTTTTACGGCTTAAACAAGTCAGAATTTACTGGTTATTTTTAAATCCACCAATTAAGTGGCCATGTGGCTGGATCCTGTCATCCTAGACAAGGCCAAGACCATACTTGATCATGAATTTTGATGCATTAATTTAACGTCTAAATTCAGGACATCAAAGTGCTTTCGCACAACCAAGAATCATTGGACTTCATCTGGCGAAAAAAGTTAGACAATCATTGAAACATAGATCAAGCATTTCAGATTTCTCCGCATCTCAACCTTCTGAAAAACCATTTTACCAAATTTGATTTTTGAATAAATCCATTGATCTTCACTTCCATTATAAGCCTGCAAGAAATATGTTTCAGTTGCAGCAACTCACTGGTATAAGCTCTTGTGAATTTCCATCACCAGAAAACTACACGAAAAGCTAAATTTGGACATCAAGAAGTGTCAGATCCTCTTAACATGTTACATCGACTTATAATCTTCCGAAAGTCGTCAAGATTTAACTGCAGTAGAACCATGGGAAAAGTCAAGTTAATACTCATCCTAATATTTGAAAGAAGTAAATTTTGAATGTCCATAGGAAAAAATTAATATAACAACAATCATCAGTCTTCTATGTCAAATCTGTGAAGAAACTAGCAGGAGCAAAGACTAGCATAGTAAACACAACCTGAAAATAGACTGCAGAGAAGTTTTTCTTGATTACTGTAAATTGCAATAGCACTTTTATGTTGAGATAGGTCAGAATCAATAAGAATTAGTGCAGGCCACATAACATGAGATCTAGGACAAATTTGGATTATTTTGGCTACTAGGGAATTTGAGAATAAAATTGAAGTAACACACTTAAGAATTCGCTTAACAGTTTGATTGCACCATACAGCAAGAAAAAAGGACAAAATTCTCAGAATTTTTTTTGGATATTTGCACTTTCTTGAAAAGTGAGTAACAAAATATTCATGATGATTCCTTGGTAACCTTTCCAAAGTAAGGTTAAACTAAGAAACAGTAGTATTAATAAAGATCGAAAAGCTAAATACTTAAAAAGAATAAAATCCCCAAGTTGTTAACAATCATAACAGACTCATCAACAGGATAATATTTCTATATCTGAAACAAAAAATAATTTCTAATGTAAATATAAACCTAATCCATTCTACATTATGCTAGAAAAAACTAGTCCATGAGTTTTGACGTGGAAAAAGTAATGCAAAAAAAACCATTCTTCAAGCTTGATAATTGTTAGAAATGGTTGAATATGTATTTTATTGAATATCACAACCCAATATGTATAGATTTTCTAGAACAGAAGAAAATAAACCATTAATTACATTAGTTACAAAGGGTGTACTTTACCCTAATGCCATTTAACTTAAACACATGATATATTCTCTTTAACACTCCTCGTTAGGTAAGAAATAAACATTATCTATCCTCAATTTGCCAATGATAATCTGAAATGTTGTATTATTCAAGTCTTTGGTCAACACATGCAAGTTGTGAACTAGTCGATGTGTATGTGGTATATATTAAATCATTGTTTAGCTTTTTTTTAATGAATTGTTGTCAACCTCAATATGTTTGATTATATCATATTGTACTAAGTTATGAGCAATGCTTACAACCAATTTATTACCATGATATAAACACACAGAGGCTATCCCACTTAATTTTTAGATCTTCTAGTATCCTCTTTAAGCATAATAATTCATATACTTCTTGTGCCATTATTCGAAATCTTGATTCTGCACTCAATCTCGCAACTCTATTTTATTTATTACTCCTCAAAGTAACTAGATTACTCCCAAGAAAGATACAACAATCCGTCGCAAATTTTTTGTCCGCCATTGATCTTTTGTAGTTTGCATCGTATAGGTTTTTAAGAGCAACTTATCATTCTTTTTAAACATAATCTCTTTTCCAAGTGACGCCTTTAAGTAATGCAACACTCTTTAGGCTGTTTGTAAGTCTATTTCTTTAGAGCACACGAATTGACTTATTAACTTATTGCATAAACAATGTGTTTGATCTTATGTGTGATAGGTATATTAGTCTCCCAACAAATCTTTATTGTAGGAAATAAAACAGATTTAAAATGAATATGAATAAAACCAACATTTTCATATAACACCAAATGGATTTAGAACTGAAACGGAAGTGACGCGATAACCGCTGACAACACACCTAAACTAGAGGAGTGCAAGAAACAAGCAAGTATAGATTAACTTCCGGGAAATGAGAGAAAACATTTGCGAGGTAACGATACTTCAAGTTACTCTGTTCTCGACCAAGTATCAAACAACGAGACTGAATCCATTAGACACAATTCCCAGCCAAGGAAGAAATGACACTAGAAGGTGCCAGAAACTCGAAGGGTAACATGCTTTATTGCTAAGGAACGACTCGGTCCGAAAATCCCGACCCAAGACGAAAGCCCAAATGTAATATGGGTTTGGGTACTCATGGGGTACACATGCATTGCAATGCACGCACAGGATACTTGGCCCGCATATCCACCGGTATTCTCCGGTCCTGTGATAAGGCAGCCAAGGCGACCTTATACTCCGCAGGAAAACCGGAGATAGGCAGCCTTCTCAAAGTAGAGATCTGGAGGCCCACACATAGGCAAGGAGGCCCACATGTGTGCCAGACATGCGGCCCGGCTCACACGATCTCTGAACGTGCATGGACTGCGGGCACAAGCGCCCGGAAGCGCCCACGGACGTGGCCCTCTCGGCCTGCGCAGAACCAATCACGCACGTGCAGGCCCAAGGGCCGAACACGTGCATCCCGTGCGGACTGGGCCGCAGACAGCCCAGCAAAATGGCCCGAGCTGCTAGCCCGCGACTCCCGCGGGCTTTCTCCCTCGCAACCCGCGCGGACCGGCCGGCCCAGCCCATCCGGGTAGCCCAACCGGCCAGCCCCTCTTTTCTTTTATTTTAAAATATTATTTAATATTTATTTTATTTTAAAACCCTTTTAAAAAGGCTTGAGACCCAATTTTTAAATACCGTGTTAAAATTAATTTACATGTTTTTTTTAATGAATTTCACATTGAATAAATATCGATTTAAATTAAATATTATTTTATTTATAACTCCATTCCTTAGAATTATTTAACTAATTTATTTGGGATATAATAATTATTTTATTTTGTATTTATCCTATATTAAGATAGAATTTTATTTAATATATTATTTTATTAATTATTTCAAGATTTTTGTACTCATCTAGATTGTTTAGAAAAGACTATAAATAGACGTTTGCCCCTAAAATGTAAAACACACATTTGAGAATAAACTTGAGAGAATTTTTGAGAGCTTCGGCTTTTATTTCTTTTACCATTTTGCTAAAATTAGCTTCTTCAAGTTATTCGGGAAGCATGAGTCTTTAGAAATCTTGTTGAGTTAAGGAGCAAGGATCAACTTATCGGTAAGTTCGTGACGTTTTTCCTTTTCCTATTTTATTTCCCTACTCTTTGTTTTTGCTTTCCTTTTAGAATTGTAGATTCAATTAAAGGGATGAGTTTTATTTTAGGTAGTTATTGTTTCGGTATTGCATACATTGAGTAGGTTTCAGGAGTAGATTCAATCTTCCCCCATACTCTCCTATGTCCTTTGGTATCAGAGTTTTGGCTCTTATAAAATCCAAATCTATCTTTACTTGCTTTAGCATTTTGTTCTTAAATTAACACTCAAATTTATTTGATTATTAGTTCATATTGCATCATTCTTGAATTCATATATATTCGTTCAATTTAAATAGTTCGTGTTATTATTTTAAAACAAAATTTATATATTAAAAATACCAAAAAAATACCCCAGTTGTACCCCATAGGGTAATTGACACATTATTTGTACTTTATATCACAAAACCAGAATAGTCACCTAATTTGTGACCGGAAATCCTTTGAGAAATTGAAGGCAAAGTACGTTGTATAACTGGTGTGAGCGAAAACTTTTGTTTTCATTCCGCACACTATCCACATTTAATTTTCGAATTGCATTTCTGTAATCTGCATCAACGTTGCATAAAGAAACTTGACCGATTGTAAAGTGTAGCCGACAAATTTGGGGTAGTATAGGAAGATACACCTATCGATTATATTAATCGGGATTGATCAGATCACTACGCATCAGTCCGAATTGTCATTCTTTGTAATATACGTTTCATTCTTTATTTTATATTTGTTCTATTACATAGCTAAGCGGCTAATTGTTACTAGTTGCTTACCACACAAGAAGCACACTAGTCTTTTTGTGTGCTTATTTTTGAGCTTCCGTAGAAATCAGAATCTTTTAGGGTTCTTTGTTGTGTCGTAAAGACTAACGTGCAGACCCGATTCAAATGATTCCGATTCCAACGCTCAACTCGACAGATGAAACTATCAATCGAAGGATTGCGAGGTAAACACGAGTGAAGGTGAGAGAGACATATTGTTTTCACTAACTCTTGTCTTTGTAGGAACTCCGTAATGTTTCACCAAAGCGCCAACAGCCGACCAGCTTACCAGCCACCTTAGAGGAAAGAGTCATGGTTAATGCACCCAGTTAAGTGTCAAGTTAGGAAACATGGCTGCCCACATGGATCGCTAGGAGCGAGGCGAGCACTGCAGTCGCACCCGACGCCAAATAGTGAGACAAGATAGGATCGTGTGGCAATGATGTTGGTGACAGACAAAGAGGCTGTCATGAAGAGGCGGACAGAGACCTTCATGACTTCAAGTTCCAAATACCAGCCTTTCAAGGGAAGAATGACCCCGAAGCCTACCTTGAGTGGGAACAGAAGGTCGATCGCATTTTTAGCTACCGCAACTATAGTGAAGAGAAAAAGCTCAAGTTGGTCACTCTTGAGCTTACCGGCTATGTCTCAGTATGGTGGGATCAGTTAGCTCTTATCCAAGAACGAGATGGAGACTTGCCTATCACCACATGACGAGAATTGAGATCCATCACGAGGAAACGGTTTGTGCCAGCTCATTTCGACAGGGACATGAATCTGAGATTGCAACGCTTGACTCAGGGTTCTAAGTTAGTGGAAGAGTATTATAAGGAAATGAAAACAACTATGATTAGGGTCCGAGTTGACGAACGTCCAGAAGTCACCATGGCTCGGTTCTTGGAGGGTCTAAACAAGGATATCGCCAACATCCTTGAACTCCAAAACTATGTCAACTTGGACGAGATGGTGCACAAGGCCACCAAGATTGACAGACAATTGAAGAGTAAAGGAACTAATCGAAGGTATGTTAGTAATGCTCCCAGGGAAACCAAAGATGGACCCGAATGGATGAAAGTAAGAAAGTGGACGACAGTAAGGGAAAACCACCTGCTGGCAATCCCACAGTTAATCCTAAGGCACTAGCCATCCGCCAGAGCACTGTAAAATGTTTCAAGTGCTTAGGAGTGGGGCATATTACATCCCAATGTCCTAATCAGCATGCCATGATTCTCCGAGATGATGGAGATATCGTCAGTGACCACGAAAGCAGTGATGAGCAGGA